ATAATCCTATGCGTAGGATTTCCTGTGAGCAACGCAAGAAAAAGAAATAGAGAGAAAGAGAGAGAAAACGCACCTTTGAAGTCCGACATCTGTTCCCACTCCCTCCTATAACGCTGCGTATAAACCCGCGTCTTCGCATGGCTGATCTTTCCCGTCGGCGTGAGACGTAGAGGTTGAGAAGGCGAAGTTGACGTGGAAGTCAGCACATTTCTACATATTACGCCCCGCTCAGAGACGAGCGTGACAGTTTTTGCTGTTTTTGGCGAGATACTGATAGTGTCCATTCGTGCCGAATTCTCCAGTTATGCGTGCCAGTCGCGCACAGTCGAGTTTGTATCCAAAATAGCAGCGTGAAATCACTAAATAGTTTTTTCTTCTCGCTCCGTTACTGTGGTTATCTGGTGTAAGTAGGGAACTACGATGAATACGACGACGATCTCTAGACTTTCTCGCCTAGTATTCCGTTCTAACTTGTCTAACTCCCTAGCGTAATGGCGGATGCTGATGTTACTGCACGTAAACCGACCCGTCGAGTTCTCTTTCGATCGACTTGGCTGTTAAGATGGCAGTGCAATGCAGGGCCGTATAAAGCTCTATATATCAAAGTACACATACACATTTTAATCTACTAATCATACTCTATATCATTAATATTAAGCGCTTATTGGACTACTAAATCGAAATGGCGGTCGAAATAGCCAATAGGAAGATTGCCGATATTTCAGTCAGATAAAAAAAAATGCATTACTTTGATAATATAGAGCTTCCAGGGCTGTACTTATTGACGATAGCTGAGAACGCCTCGAACAGACGAATATTCTCGAATCGCGACGCGATTTATTATATTTGGAATTTATCCCGTCGATCAATCTTTTTCGCATAATCGACTAGATGTGACTATTAAAGATCGATAACCTTATGAAAATTCGCGTGAAAACCTAAATGGTTTATAATATGATACTAATATGATAATTTTATAATTTATTATCCTGATTTTTTTATAGACACATATACATATATGTTTAAGATTTAATAATATTCAATTTTAATTTTAAATACTATAATTTTATTATTCAATTAAATCGTATCGATTTAATTGAATGTACGAGCGATAAATTAAATAAATATAAATTAAATAAAATTAAGCGAATTAAAAAATTTATAGTCACTAGTATCTTTAAATTATCTTTAGGTCTCCGGAACTCTATTAATAACGGAACTCTATTAAGTCATGATAATTTATCCAGGATCTTTAATATTCCATTGAAGACGTATTCAAGACAAATTATATATATAAACATTATGTATATATAAATTTAGACACACACACACACACACACACACACACACACACACACACACACACACACACACACACCCACACACACACACACATCAAATGTACGCTACAATAGGAAATTAACGTTAACTCGGTATCTATTTATTTTGACCTCGCTTTTATCTACGTTATTATACACACGAATATGTAATACGCTAATTTTATCGATATGCGCGTGCAAAAGTCAAGCACGCGTAAAATCAACATAAGTAATCATCATAGTAAAATATGAGAACACTTTCTAGTTTATATTAAAATTAGTGATGTTTGCGTTTAACAGAGAAAACAGTTTTGCAACTGTGTAAAATTCTTCAATACGATTGGCTCTTATCTTTGGTTCTTTACAGATTTAAATGCAGAAACCAATCATATTGAAGAATTTTACAACAGCTGCAAAACTGCTTTCTTGCTAAACGTAGCTACTAGTATTTTTTAAATTATTGTTAATTTTTTAAAATTATTATTAATTATGTTTTCAAAATCATTCTTGAAAAACAGTCTCTTGAAAATCACTTGAGGGATTTCAGTTGGAGTTCAATTGCTTGAAGTTTTCAAAACAATACATTTCTCTAGTTAATATCCTTTTTTTATACTAGATCCTTGTCGTACACACAAGTTTACATACTACCATCCTATTTTACAGTTAGTTTAATACTCGCAAATAATAACTTTCTACCAAATAATTTCTGAAAAAAATCTGGAAAATTAATAACCATCAGTTTGTCGAAGAATAATTCGAAATGTCACTACATGGCAAATTTTAAACTTTAAATTATTTTGTCATAATATCTTGTTTAATGATCTAAATTATTGATAACATAAATAAACTTTGATTTTTTTTAATTATAATATTGTATATCTCTAATAATAAGGCTTCAAAAAACTAAATCGGAATAAGAAAAAAATACAAAACAATATAAGTTAATATTGCTCTAGTTTCACACTGATCATTTAATACCACCGACGAAATATTATTAAAGACCATCAACCTTAGACAAATTTTCATCCTCACAAAAAAGGCCCAATGGCCCGAAGGTAATTGAAGAACGTTGATCTTATCGACAATTAATAATTGTAAATTTGCGATTTTTAACATAAATATTCAATTATATACAAGCTATTAAATTCATGATTTTTTATTATATAAATGCTTCATAAATAAGTATGCATATTTGTAATGCTATAATTCTAATTGTAACACATATATATATATTGCCGCAAAATTGCAATTTTTTTCTCTACAGTTATTATTTTAT